GGCACCTTTAAGCGACCTGTTGTTAAAGTGTGTCCTTTATCGCAAGCCGATCTTCAATGATTTGCATAACGCCGCCTTTTTTTAAGTTTAATTTTGTTTATTTATACCGAGAGGTTTTTTCTTTTATTTTAATTTTTGGGCTTACAATTTGTCTTACTGTAATCTCGCAAATTTAATTTATTTTTAGTTTTTTTTTTCTCGCTTAAAACCCATGGTTTTAATGGCCGCCAGAATGTTTCGTCTTCGCGAATTATTTAATATTTGTTTAATTTTATTACATTTATTTTAATATTATATTCAGCTTATTGCCCCCCCAACGCCCATGTTTATCGCAACTATTTTTAATTACCTATTTGTAACCGCGTGAGGGCGTAAGTGTATTAAGAAATAAGAGTTCGAACCGCAAGCATCCCCGCGAACGACAGTGATCTACCACGCGACATTATACCCGCTTTATCCCGCTTGTGCATCTCAACTGCTAGAAACCAACGCTAAAGCCTAATTGCCAGAAACCAGACCAGGGCCCTGAGTGTCGTCATCAGCACCAGCAACAAGGTAGGACTTTATTAGTATTCTTACTGCCCACGTTTTATCTTGTAACATAATTCAGTCAACTAACACCACCACCCCCTATTTCTCACATTCATACAGTCCACTGCCTACCAATAATAGCAATATGTACTATAGTAGGTACATATGGTATACACAGTAAAAAAATAGGTTTTTATTAATATTAATAAAAACCTATATTACTATATACTATACTATTTTACTATATCACTTTATTACTATATTCCTATATAGTAATGTATTAGGAAAATAATTTACTTATCATTTTAAGTAAGATATTTTACTTTTGTTTATTCATATTGGCAAAAGATTTGCTTTAAATTTTACAAGTATAGATTTTCCTTTTCTTTATTCATACGGGCATTGTTTGCTATAGAATCTATAAAGTTTGCGTTATTATTTTTATTATGTATTTTATTTTAAAAGAGATGTATTTTTTGTTTTATTTTTATTGATAGTACCTGAATAAATGTTATATTCAATCATGTTGTTTTTATTTGATTTCGCCTATTTTAGGCGGTTGATGCCTATTTTAGTCACTTTCTGCCTAAAATGGCCTAAAATGTAGGTTTTATTGCCTATTTATGTGTCCTAATTTCCAATTTTTAACGGCCTAAAATCCGGTCTTTGATCATAACACACAATGAAGACCAGAAACAATTTGTTGTACAGCTTGTGTCAGAGTTTCGAAAAGCATTTCCCGACGCAAAAAAAAGACTGTTGTAAACAATTTTTAAAATACCAAAACCTAATTATCTGGGTTTTGTTTTGTTATTTTTTTTTGCCATTTTAACTGTTACTTTCTTTAAAAATAAATTGTTAGAAAATAATCTAAAAATCAATTTCATTATTTATATAATTGTAATTTTGTACTTTTCTAATGTTGGTGCTTCCTAAATATCTTTTAGGTAATCTTAAATTATTTGTTTCCTAACACATATAATTTAAGATTGCGTAAAAGATATTTCTAATGTTGGTGCTCCCTAAATATCTTTTAGGTAATCTTAAATTATTTATTAAACATATAATTTAAGATTGCGTAAAAGATATTTAGGTAGCACCAACATTAGAGAAAAGTACAAAATTACGTTTCAAAAACACTAATTATGCATTAAATGCAAATTATCACTGATATTTTGTTTTTCATGCCATTTTCAATAAAATAACAATAATAGTAATAATTGAGCAAAGTAAAAAAGATCTTACGATGGACATACATGAATTCTTTTTTTTTGTTTAAAAGTACAATATTTTCCCTTCATTTCCTCAAAAAATTAGAATTGTTTATTTATTATTAATTATTTTATAAAATTATTGCGTTTTAAAGCAAAAATCTCCTATATGAAAAACTGTAAGTAATAATCGAGCGAAGTAAAAAATACCTTAGGATTAAAATACATGATTTCTTTTTTTGTTGTTTAAAAGTAACTTATGTTATTTTCTTAAAAAATTATACTTTTTCATAGATTAATAGTAATTTTAAAAAATTAATACATTAAAGGCAAAAATCCTATCTGGAAAACTTCTCGTTGTTACAGGCAATAGAAGGAAATAAGTTAGGACATTCAAATTTGGCATACTTTTTTTTTATATTTTTTAAAAACAAATGAGGGGGCGGCACGATTACAATTTCGACATCGGTCAAATAAGAACCACCCTAGTGAATATACAAAAAATTACTTACAGTTTTTATGAAAACTCAAAAATCTGTATTATAGTTGAATTTTTAAGTCATGAGCCCTACGGCAACAATGTCAAGCAACTGAATCAAATCGAGGGCAAAATCAGTGGCGTATCGTGGAGTTTTATTTGGGATTCGAAATGTTGTATACGTATGCAGTCCATTATACACGTTTGTGCTTTGGGTTGCGAATCAAAATATGAGAATCGTATTTTGCCTGGCTTAAACCGTATTATGATTCGTTTTAACTTAAATCCTTCATTTGAACGTGCAAATTTATTAAAACAGTAACTCTTATGTAATTATATTATTAAATGAAACGTTGTAATTTATATATATTAAATTATTGTAATTTTAAATTATATAGTTTGCGTTACCCATTCTGCGTGGAGAAAATTAAGGGTAGGTACCTACCTATTCTACTACTAAAAAATTCCCTATACTTTGCAAATTTTCAAAATATGTATGTTAATTAATTTGGAAATATTAATATTTGTATAATGCACAATGGTTAAGATATTATTTTATATAATCATTTAGTTGTGGAGATTGCACACACCAATAAGCTCAAATGGAAACAAAAATGGGACGTCTAATTTTTGTTTAATAGTAAAATGCAATATACTCTGAAAAAAATTGGTTTATTTAATAATTTAATGATAAATGCTCTTAACTGCATTAAAAGGATCTATTTTCATCTATTAATATGTTAATATTTATATATAAGATATCTTAATCGCTATCATCTTCCGATTCATCGTCGTTGACGTTACCAATGTGGATTATCATTTCATGACCATGATCATCGTCCAAGATTCTTTCTTTATTGTACCATTCCTCTATAATTTTTTCAGTGTGCTATTTTTGACTTCCATATGATTCTGGAGTAACTTTTTGTAATGCCCGTTCCCACATAGTAAGCACTTTATCATTGCCATATGGCAATGTAGCCATCTTCACCAATATGTTTATTATAATAATCCTTTGCATCGGCCCATACCATTTCAATTGCGTTAAATTGACAATGGTACAGAGGCAATCTTAAAGCTTCATGTCCATTTTCTTGTAGCAATTCATCAACCCTATATCGTATTGGTTTTTTATGTTTCTTGGCTAAATTTAAAAGTTGTACTTTAAACATATCATTATTTAATGGTATATTATTTTCTTCCAACCATTCCTTAATTTTGTTTTTAGTCCATGAAACCGTTGGTTGTTTTTCCATTAAGACGCTATGGTAAGACGCGTTGTCCATTATAATTAGAGAAGGTTCCTGTAAATTTGGGATGAATTGTTCTTGCAGCCATTTCAAAAAAATTTCTAAGTTCATATCACCATGATAATCCGCCAGTTTGGACCTCGTGGAGTAAACCAATGCGGCATCGCGAATAAAACCTGTTTCATTATACCAGCATGCAACACAATGAAACGTTTTCCATCATAACCTTCTGGTTTGCGTACACTTTTTGTGGATGAGTCTTGCCAGGATCTTGTATGGCTTCCTTTAGCAAATATCCAAGTTTCATCTAAATTTAAATACGCAAATATTTGGAATATGGAAAATATTAAAAAATTCAAGTACACCAATGATGACAGGCTGTCAAAGTTTTGTAGACATTTGTGCATTTAGCTATCTTTGTCGATCCCATTATTATAAAAATATAAACATAAAGAACGTATGTTGTGGTATTATTAGACATACGTTTATCTATCGCTATATGCTACCTCCCAGTGGTCCTGCGGCGTGGAAATACAATACGAATGTCTGAGCTATATCCTTACATATGTCACGTGAGGGTCATGATTAAAAAACCAAACTATAGTAACACCACTACAAAAACAAACTTTTAAGAGGATGTGGATATTTTTTCTTAATTTTGGTGCTTGATAAAATAATCATAAAATAAACCCAATGACAACAAAAAGTTTTTGTTTTGTCTCGTTTTGTAATCAACTATCACTATAGTTACTACTGTAGTAAGTGTTGACAAGTTTAAATTATAGAACACTTGAAAATAAAATTTACAATTTTATATTTGGACATTAATTTAAGACCAAAATAATTAATTTTAGTAACTAAGAAAAAACCAAATAACATTTAAATTAAAGAAGCAAAAACGAATGTACTAATGTATTAACCATCAATGACATTTAAAAATAAATTAACTATTTACTTCAATTAGCTTTTGCCATATTAGAAGACATATTTATAGAACAAATAACACCGAGACGTTATAGACTATCCCTTACTGAAGTATATTTGGTTTAAAAATAAAAGAAATATACTTAAATCAGTAGGGTTAAAGGTAATAAATTGGAGTCTTATGCGAGACTGATATTAGATATTCTGTGGCACAGTTCAATCTGAAAACAAACCACAAGGGTTTCAGGTTTATATTAGACAGCAATTGAGGACACATCTTCAAGACGCTAAATTATATTGCATCCTAAGTTATTTTATAATGTTGGCAAGGATAGCATATTTTAAATAAGCTTGGGGAATTATTAATTTTAAAAACTGTTTTATGCTTTTTATTTTATTTTTAAAATGATGGATTTATGTCCCCCGATACCATGATATTGTGTGATTTTTTTTACATTTATAATGATATTCATGATTTATATAGTGTTTATAAAAGAAGAAACCAAATACAGTATTTGAAATAAATATTAGTCGGTAAATTACTTTTAAAACATGAAAAATTATTGTAACAATAGAGTATTTTATTGAAGTTGGGCTTAAATCAATAATTATAATATTAATTAAAAATAAGTGTTCTTAAAAGTAGAAATATATAAAGAGAATTCATAATTTAGAACTCGATTTATCCGATGAGCTTATATATGAATAGATTCGATCAGTTGATTATTGTCGAGTGTAAGTCGACTTTCTGTTTTGCCATTTTGAGGTTTCCATTCTGATGTAGGTTGAAACCATTTCCAGCCAGACTGAAACAATTAGCAATTAATTAATTAATTATAAATTGTTTCCTAATTTTCTCTCATTTAGTAAATACAGTTATTGGCAAAACCATAATATATTTATGTAAGGGTTTTCAATAAAAATATATTACGATATATTATTACTTACATATTTTCCATGCCATAGTGAAATACCACCAAAAATAAATAGTGGTGCCAAAGTTGAAATACCAATCATCCATCCAAGCATATCAGCCCAAATAGGGAAATCATATCCTTCGTAAGATGTCCGAGAAAAGTTGGACATTTGAAATGCGAAAACGCCCTAAAATATACCCATAAAGTAGTAGATACCTATACTCATGAAATAGTAGCGATTAAAACAATGGCATTATGACCCCTTTATGTAGTTGGTACGTAAGAAATAAAAACCCAATAATGAACTAGTACACGGAGAAAATACTACAATAACCATTGTTGTGCAGAAAAGTAATCCACTTATTTTCAATTTCAAAGAATACTTATTGTGCAGAATATTAATCACAACAGCTCCTGACATTCCTTATTTTTGTCACAAAACTAACTATTGCTGTCGTCAAAGTAACACGTGATATTTTATTAAAATGTTTTTGATTTTTAACGGTAGACATAACATTGACATTGTATATTAAGTTGATTAGTGTTTTGCGCATCAATGGGTAGTGTTTTCTAATTAATGGTTACTGTTTTATTTTCTCTGTACATAATTTTAAAATAATTATATTATATTATACGAAATATAATGCATATTCACAAAAATGATTCGTCAAACAAGAGACCCAAATCATCCGAGTGAATAATGCACATTATCTAGGTATATGCTATCTACTATACTTTATGTACTCCAATGAGTAGATATGGAAATGATTTTTAAAAATAAATAAATAAAATCTGACACCTGTTAGATGGTTAAACTCAAAGATAATACATCTTTGGTTAAACTCACTTTCTAAAACTTTTAAATATAGTCGCATTTTCCCAATTTAAAACCCGATACGTCCAAAACATAATGAAATCGAACAATCACTGTTGCCTAGCAACAGGAATAATAGTTGTTATGCGTGGCGGTTTTAATGTTTATCATTATATAGAAAGAAAAACAATATACGCTAAAGAAGTATCGCTAGTAGCGCCACCACTCGGCTTTTATCATCGTATCAAAAGTAGAACTTTTAATGATCAGCTGTCAACCGCTTAGGTTACAAACGAGTGTTTTTGAGAATAAGGCCGGAAAATGTTAAAAAATATCTAAAAAAAAACATGGATCGATTTGTTGTGTTGTTGGGTGTATTTCGAGACGGAAATCCTGGGTTGAGTTTTTAGCGGTTTTCCAATAAACAGTGTTAATCTGAATGAAGAAATAAAATGCATACAGTCTCTGGAAATATAAATTGTAGGTACCTATTAGATACAATAAATACACATTTTAGTAGTGATTAACGTGAAAAGTGTAAACATTTCAATTCAGTAAAAATCGTCAAACAAATAAAGCCTGAATTATAGATTGCCTTCCTTCCTTCCTTCCTTCCTCCCGTAGAAGAAGAACGAAACCCAATAAACATTTTTGACGTAATTGTCCCCATTAACATTTCCCGCGTATAATTTTTAATACTTTGTGATAATATTTTGCAATTATAGTTGTTAAGTATTCGTTGTTTTGTTTTATTATAAATTATTTTGGGTTTATTTTTATAAACTACAGTTTCTTAATTTTATTTAATTTAAATATCGCGCTTAACAATTTAATTTAAATTGCTTATAAGTTAGCAATTGGTTTAAGTTTTTTTACGGGTTTTTTGTAAAATGTTGGAGGAATATAGTATTTAATAGTAATAAATATTATGAAGACTTACTGGAATGGTTAAAAAGAGCAATGTGGAATATAAAAAATTAAGAAAATTAAAATGGTTTGGCGGTACCAGTTACAGAACTGTTTTGTTAAACTATTATACAGTAAAATTTACAATTACATAAATAAATGAATAAAAAAAATGAAATGAATGAATAAAGCGGGAAGTGAAAAAGAATATCGCAGAGAGTTCGGATCGTCGTAATAATTATCCCAGTCTGTGTGCTGCATACCATCATGAGAACAGGGTAGCTACCCAGCAAGAACAACATCGAAAATCGTAAGTACACAGACTCCTCATTTTACCAATTACACAGTCCACTTCGTTTCGTAATGTTCAAACATTAATGATCCTTCGAGCCGGATCGTCGTAATAATTAAAATAGTTCGTTCGTTATAAGAATAATTATAATGTTTAATTTGTCGTGTTCGTGGAGTTTTACCTAAAATAAAACCCATCCCAGTCTGTGTGCTGCATACCATCATGAGAACAGGGTATCTACCCAGCAAGAACAACATCGAAAATCGTAAGTAGTTTTACCAATTACATACTGTCAACTTCGGTTCGTAATGTTCAAACAATAGTAATAAAAAAAATCAAAGGATAAAATATTTTCTTAACAAAATCATATTTTAAAGTTATTTTAATATTTTAAAGTATCAATAATTGTTGTAAAGTTAAATTAAAATTAATAACGGGCAATTTTCATGGTGAAATTACGTCAAAAATGTTTATTTAGTGTAGTTCCATTTATAGATTCCCTTACCGTAAGGACGGCATTCCTTCCTCCCGTAAAAATTTTTAAGACAGCGCGTAGGCACAAAATATTTAGTATTATTTAAGATAGGTGTTCAGTTTATTAAATAATTTGTGTCTCTAAATAGGATATTTAGATATTGTTTATGATCAATGTCTTTCATTTTTAGAAACGTTGCTTTGTAAAACCCCGTAGTTTCCCGGTCTTGGTAAAGTGAGCGAGTCTTCCAACGTCTTGTTCGATGTTTTTTTTTGTTTTCATTATACTGGGTTATCTTGGGCTATGATAAAGCTATGGACATTTTGTATCTTAATTCAACAAAGAAATGCAGTAAGCTATCTTATAAGTTAAATAAATCAATTAAATACCTACTTTTTATAAAAATGTAGTTTCTGCTAATTTCCCACAAATTTTTTGTTTAGCAGTTACTGCCTTTCTCCATAGTTGGGCAGTAATTAAAATTGTGATCACTGCACTAATATATAAATGTTTATTATTCATATTTACATACAATGGGTAAAACGCAGAATATAAACAAAAACAAATGTCAACCATTTTAGGTATCATCGCGCATGGTTACGGAAATCTATAAATTGACTTTTTAAAGACGCACAAATCGTACGGGCACGACTACAGGAGAAAGGAAGGAAGGCACTCTATTATTCAGGCTTAAGTCGTCTAAATTTACACAGCATTTAGCATTATTAAAAGCGTTGATTAAGAATTCTTTAAAGTCTCCACTCAACGGTAAAATACCATTATAATTATTATAATTATTATGTATTATATATAATATAATGTAAAATGCAGTTGTCGGCGTTTTTTAAAGAAATCAAATATAAAAATGATTGATTCTAAGGTTATGTTATTATTTTTTACTAATTTCTTAAAAATGTCCAAACTTAAATATAAATTAACTAATAATAACTTTACCTAATAAGGTAAAGTTATTATTAGTTAATTCTGCACCAAAAAATGTACTTACCGAATTGGATCCTTTGACAAAACATGAAAATGCAACGATTTAGTTCTTGAATTTTATTTACAATTAAAAACACAATAATTTACCATGATCCCTTTGATAAAATACACACACTAACGTAACTATAAAGGCATTTAGGAGTTGAGTTTCTTAATCAATGATATAAGGAATAATCAATCAAAATCGAGTACTAAAAAAGTTTCTTAATTTTTCATTGCATCGTAAAACACAAATAACTTGCGCGATTTAGCTGTGCAATTGAACAAAATTTGTCGAGTAAGACTTCTGCCTTCCTCTCTTTTGTAAAAAAACTACCTATTTATTTAAAAATGATGTATAATCAGTGCTTTAAATTTATTGTTGACAATTCTTAAATTCACGCAATGCATTCGAAGTCCACCAGATGGCGCGCGCGTTGCGAAAACCCGATACTTCTTTAGCGTATTATGCAATAGAAGTAGATAAAAATAGTTATTCATTATACAAGATGATAAAATATAATTCTATCGTCGACCAAAAAAAAAATAATTCACGAGCGATAAAATCGTAAATATCAAAAGTTAATTGGTTGTAAAAATAAATTCATTCCATTTTGACAGAGCGTTGTCAAAATTTTAACCATATTGGCTGCAGCAGTCTATTAATAGATGGTGCATATCAACACAATAGTATATTGTAAAACAGGTGTTACAATGACCGTTGCAATAGTAGGTACGAGTATCACAATAAGTTCTTTTAACAAAAAATTTCTATACTATTTTGCTTATTTCATCATAATTATCATAGGTATCAAAATCATAATTTATCAATAAATTTGAATAAATCTATAAGTAAAATTTATGTTACTGGGTTGGCACAACCATGGCGTTCTCTATACCAGGTGTAGTGTAGCCCCCACTCCTGCATCAAAACTGTGACGTCAGGAGGCCAATCGGATCAACGTACGCCTATTGTATTACATTGCTTTGCAACCAAAGTTATGGATTATTATTGCTTTTAAGGAGTATTTTTTACTAAAGCAATGGATAATGCATGAGTACATATTCTATCAAAATCAACAGAACAATATGTACTAAGTAATTTATTTAAAACAAAGAGAACGGCACACAAAAAATAATTCTGTAATTTTAAAATACCGATTGTTTGGGATTTGTATATTTGAAATAAGTTTAGTCTAATTTTTATAATATGGAATGGAATATTAAATAATAATTTTGTTAGGTTTAATTTTATACAAAAAATTAATTTAATTTATCTATTACTATTAAGAATAATCATATCGCACATGGGCGACAACAGTGTCATAAGTAGTAAAACGATAATTCCGATATAAGTTAACGTAAAAGATTTTTGAATATTAAAATTCTGACATTTTTGTAAAATTATATTAACTTACAGTGTTAGTTAATATAATTTTACAAAAATGTCAAAATTTTATTATTCAAAAATCTTGTACGTTAACTTATATCGGAATTATCGTTTTACTACTTATGACACTGTTGTCGCCCATGTGCGATATATTATATCACGAGAACTATGAATTTAATCGGTTAAACTAGGCTCAGTAGTTTTTTGTTTGGTTTTTCTTGGAAAATGTTGAATGCAAAATAATTTAATAAAATCACGAGACCGCGTAGCGGTCGAGGGGTTTTATTTTTAATTATTTTGCATGAAACTATTTTCCAAAAAAAAAAATC